TGGCAACTGCGATGAAAAAAAAAACTAACTTGTCTTCTGAACCACAAACGATATGCCTTCCATCGGGAGAAAACGCTGCACGAATTTGTGATCTTTCATTTTGTGCACCACGGAATTTGCAAGTAAGAGCTTTATCTCGGACGTCATACATCCGAATTCGTGAATCATTTGATGTGACCTGACGTTATCACAATAAAATATAATCGGCTATAGTAATAAGAGAAAAATCGCAACTCACTAGCAATTTATCTCCATGGACAGCTAATCCCGTAATCTTGTGACCTTTTGCATTTCTCCCTCGAGTAGACCGTACATCCACTACAGTGTGGTATTTGAGTTGCTAAATGCACTATTTGTAATGGATTTCCCAAAATCTAGAGCACTAACATCAGTGGAATAGAAGAAGCATCGACCGTTATAGGTTCCAACAACAGCAAACTTTCCATTCTTGACAAAAGTCAAAGCCGTAATGAATTTCACCTAAATATGAATAGATAATATTGACACAGAAAGAAGCAAGCCTTTATAGGTTATTGACAAAGTAACAAATTCTCACAAAGATCTCGCACCCAATTAATACCTTTCAGAAAATGTACATTTTGATATTCTCAGGAAAATGATGAAAAAACCCACAGGGACTTCGTTCCAGACAGCAACCTTCTTATCTGGAATATGCCACATCCGTAATTTTCCATCAAGTGAGCCAGAGAGAAAGTAGCGATCGTCCTTGAAAGTAGCTTAGGTTACAAATGCGGAATCCGAGTAAGCAACGACAAACCTTTGGCAGAAACGCTACACAGGTAACAAAGTCAACATGTTGAAAACAACAAAGGCACTCGGCACGTGACAGGTGCCACAGCTTTACAGTTCTGTCCATTCCGGAAGACAGAATAAAGTAATTTTTTGACCATGACAGATCCAATATGTCAGCTGTGTGACCCTGAAATTAGTATCTGCTTAAATCTTGTACTAAACCTTAAAAAACTGCGCAAACCTCAAGTACAAAGGCCGCAAACTATTATACAACGAAAGAAGTTTTCAAGGAGTTTCAGCTTCAGACGAACAAAAGCTAAGTAAAGAGACAGCTTGCTTACCTTGAAAATTGCGTAGGGCTTCGAAGAAAATAGTGAAGTCGATTCTTGCTCTTCACCGCTAAGATCGCCTAGAACAACGAGATGAAAAGAAAGAAGTGGTGCATGAAAAAGCAAAAACACCAACTGTCTAAGTGCGAAGTATCGCCTGAAGAGCTGGGTGGTC